CAGAAAGCACAATCTCACATAGGATCGCCCAAAACTCAGCAAAGCGCAGAGCCGTTGAACAGTCGACCGACCTCGGTAGACGTCAAAGCGGAAGTCGTTTTGAAAGACTCAACAATAATCGAATTTGATTTGATCGCTTTCAAAATTTCTTACTGAGGCAAAGTTTCATGGTAATTGTGGTAGCATCGTGGTACGACGGCCTTCAACTCCAGTAGATGTTTAAACTGGTTGGCAGTTTTCTTCAATCTGTCATTGCAGAGAGGTCCAGCAGTAACCGTCGTACATTGGGTGTTCTGCTTTCTTGGTCCTTGCAGCGCTTGCCATCCATCATCAAAGTTCAGCTTGTACTGAATTGAAAAGTATGAGGGTACTTTGATGCCTGCAAGTCAGTGACAGTAGGATTGCCTGCTTTTCTCCCTGGACGGATTGTTTAGTGCTCTCCGACCTTTGCAAAATCTTTGAAGAAGCTGTCGCCAAGGTACATAACTTCCCCTCTCTATCTCTCCCCTCCTCTCTCTACCCCCCTCCCCCCTTGCTCTATCTCTCCCTCCATCCTCTCTCCTCCTATATATATACATACTCACCTGCTCTACTCGAGACTAAGGTGCTTATAGAAATTAGTTTTATGCAAACATCCAGTGTCTTAGCCTTATTATAATATTGTGAGCTGGTGTACTAGTGTGGAAGCATAAATAAAGGGCCTTTTGAAATAGGACATGTTCACTGGTCTGATAAGCCTTGCTCTTTACCCCAAGAAGTCTTGCGAAACTGTTTGCTGTAACCTCAATTATAACAGTTCTTTGATATTATTAAGCTTATATAATTTTGGTTTGCCTCTCAGCACCTCTTAGCATACACCTATTCAGCCTGCGGCTGTTACAGCAAAGGAATGTTATTATTACCCTTGATACGCTCCACCAAACTTAAACATTCAGCAAATTGTGCAGATCTAAAGCGACGGAAAAGTTTCTTCTCTAAAATTGTCTCCTTCACTTCCTTTGCACCCCTACAACCATGTTCTCTTTTCTGCTCTCGTCTCCACTTTCTGTCCCCCCCCCCCCCCCTCCCTTTCCCCTTGGGCTCCGGACTCTTTCTGCAGCCTTTCTACTCGCTCTTTCTCACTGCTGTCTTTCATCCACACCCCTTATCTTATGGTAGGTAAGATTTTATATACCTAGCCTTCTCAGTTAAAACGGGGAAATATATCGGAGGTCCCGTGTGTAAGTTGCGCACGTTAAAGATCTCTTCATTGAGGTTCTAAAATCGTAAAGAGTAGGCTTCGGCCATCACCCGAGCAAAAATTTAAAGTTTTCTAAAAACGGAAAATATTTAATGTGTCCTGCACGCTCATACCAAGGAGTTTAAAACAGATTTTAATCTCCTTGGCTCATACTCATATATAACCTTATGCAGTTGCGAGCGCCGTTAAACGCTTGCCAAATTTTTTTTCTAAATAGTTTTTATTATTATTATTATTATTGATACAATTGCGGCAAAATCAATGTAGGCCTAATTATTGTCGCTTTTACGAATAGCGTGCCAATTTCTTTGTAGGCCTACTAACTACTACTACTACTACTACTACTACTACTACTACTACTACTACGACTACGACTACGACTACTACGACTACTACGACTACTACTACTACTACTACTACTACTACTACTACTACTACTACTACTACTACTCAGGGGCGAAGGCTGACTTGTTTGACAGGGTAATCAAAGTGAGATGAGACAAGAGAGGGCCTGGAGATATCACACTCACACAAGTCACAAGAATCTTACTGGCACTGGAGGCGGCAACTCTGAGTTGTGAATGAAAACAAATCCTGAATTCATGTTGTATGCATATTCAACCGCTAAAATAATCGGGAAAGTATTTCATTAAATATTTATTCTAACTAAACCTTAAATTTAACTTTAGATTTGAACACACGAACACCAAGGAAAGAAGCAGAGATGTCAGTACTAGGCCTACAATGGCATGCTATACCAGACAGCCGAAACACTTTGGTAGAGCATGCCAATTATTAATTTTTTATTTGACATTTGGCTGTTTTTGTCTAGCTACCTTTTCGCGGGCAGGACCCGGTGTCATAATCGAGGTCACGATCTGATTATAGGACGTTAAGAGTCGAGGAAACAAAACAAGCACATGCAGCAGTCAAGATATTATTAGGAGTTAGTTCCCCTCACATCTGTGAGGTAGACTCGACCAGTGTAGTAGTTAGCTTACATAATCAGCGGGTGTGGTTGATCATAACTGTGGCTCGAAAGGGGTGAACAGGGTATTTGCGACAATGAAACAGTTTTGACTGCTATGCACATGTTCCTTTTAACTATATTGGTAGACTCTTTCAGCCTCATTTTAAGCTTACTTAATCAAAGCTTGCGACTGCTTATGGAGTGGCCCGATAGAGAAGAACAGGCTATTTCTGTGGCAATGAAACCGTTTTGAAGGTTAGGCATAGTCTATTGTTCATTTGTGATTATGAACGTCTCTTTACATTTAATTTATGAGGTTTACGTCTATGGGTGAATTTGACTGCGACAATGTTTCAAAATTAGGAAGGGAAGCAGTGATTATTTGATTATATAGACGCTTCGCTCTACTACTACTACTACTACTACTACTACTACTAGTAGT